GGGATATGACAGAAATGTTAAAAGCAGGGGGGATATATGTTGGATGGTTGGTCTTTTGTTTTAAAAAATGATGAAAGAGGGGGAAGGGACCGGGATTGGCGGGAGCATGTAAGTCCCTTTATTAAAGGGAAAGGGACAAAAAAAACGTAAAAATTTAGAGAATAAGTTTTTTAGTATACGGGAAAAGTGTACGGTAGGGTTTATAATTTAAAAATTGAGGGAAAAGAATGTAGGATGCGGATGAGCAAAAGGGGGTTTCAAATGGGGAGGGGGTGTGTAGATCAAATGTTTTTCTTGAAGCATTAGTGAAAGGTATTTTGATAAAGGTAGGGAAGTTTTTTTTGCATTTATGGATTTTGAAAAGGCATTGATAGAGTGGTGAGGGCAATTGGGAGAGTTGCAAGTATATGGAAGGTGGGAAGTTATTAAATGCTTAGAGAGTTTTTTATGAGGATAGTGAGGCTAGTTAGGGTGTGTAGAAGAAGGGAAAATATTCCGGTAAAAGTAGGTCTTAGCAGGGATGTGTAATGTCACCTGGTTGTTTAATATATTTATAGAGGGGTTGAAAAGGAAGAAAAATGTGGGTGTTGGGGAAAAAGGGGGGGGTTTAAAATTTTTGGGAAATAAATTTCAAAATGGGAATTGGCACAGTATTTTTTGCTGGATAGTGTTTTGGGAGTTTCAAAAGGAAAAATTGCAAAGGTTAGTGGATGAGTTTGGGGAATGTGTGAAAAGGTAGAAAGTTAAAGTGAAATAGAAAAGAAAAGGTGTGAGGGTATAAAATGATTTAGATAAAAAAAATTTGGAAAAAATTTGGGGGAGGAGGGTATGGAAAAAGGTGAATGTTTTCGATATTTGGGAGTTGACGGTTGGCGGGATGGATTTATGAAATGGGGTTAATCATAGAATTGAGGGGGGGGGAAAAAAAAGGTGAGTGGTGCGTTGAGGTATATGGGGAGTAAAAAACGTTATCTGGGGAGGAAAAAGGAAGGGAATGTATGAAAGTATAAAGTCCCAACATTTTTTGGGGTGTGAATTTTTGGGTGGTAAATGCAGCAGCGAAAAATTGGTTGGAGGCAGTGGAGATGTCCTTTTTAAGGGAGGGGGTGGGTAAATAAGCAAAAATTGGGATGGGAAATTAGGAAAAGGTGTGGATTAATAAAAGTATTAGTCAAGAGCAGAAAGGGTTGTTGAGGTGGTTTGGTTTTTAGAAGAATGGATCAAAGTAGAATGACAGGGAAAAGATAAAAAATCTATAAAGGGAAGGCGGGTGGGGGTCGCCCTCGAAAGGGTTGAAGGAGGGGGTAAAGGGGGGTTTTGTGGGAAAGGGGGTTTGGGATTTCCCAGCAAGCTTTTGATGAGCGTGTTAGATAGGATGAATGGAACGAAGGGTTTGGACCTGACGATCTTTTGGATGTGAGCGGGGTAATTTTATGGGGATTCGGGGAAACCCGGGTTTATTTTATATAGCGGACTGAATCGGAAATGGGAAGTACAATGCCTGCAATTTAAAGGAGGGGTTTGGGAATTGGCTTTTGGGGGGATATGTTGTGTACTTTATTTGTATGCTTCTAAACTTTTGTATTCTGAGCACCTCTGCAAAAACATGAAAATGTGCGAGTGGGGTGAAATTTTGGAATATGATAAAGTATTTTTTTTTGGGGATTTTTTTTCTTTTTTGGGTCCCCCTGCTCGGGGGGGGGAGGGCCCCCGACTTGTTGAAATATTTTTTATTTTTAAATATAATTTTATATATATATTTTTAAAATTATATTTTTATATATATATTATATAATTATTAAAACAGGGCCCCCCCGCATGGGAAAATTATCCGGCAAGGGGGCTGGTGTTATGCGAAATGTTCGTATGCGAATTAATTTTTCCCCCATAAAAAAATAAGGGAAATAAAATTAATCCTTTGCAAGCCCCCAAATATAAAAAAAATTTTTTTTACCACAAAAAAATGTTAATTTTAGTACACACAAACGAAAAAGGCATGCACAATTCATGACACTTACTTTTATTGAAGATCTGGTGATGATGTGGGATGGGAGGGGGGGAGAGAGAGTGTTATGTTTAAAAGGGGGAAACCCCCCCTTCCATTGGGATTGGGTAGCAAGCCCCTTTTCGGGGGTTATTTCCCCTTCTTCTTTTAAGCACTAGGACCAGCTTAGAGTCATGGACTCTTTCGCAAACATATCTGTCCATAGTGCCTGTCCCTCTCGTTCCTTTATGATTTGTCAAAGGGTTCAAAACATGCTTTGTAAAGTCACCAGACGGCTTGCAATACTTTGGGGGGTTTTTTCATAAAAAAAGGGTTTGCATTCAAGCCATTTTGCCCCAATTTTCCTTAATTTTTTGAAGTGGGCAATTCCTTAAATTTCTCTCTCCCCCCCTTTGAACCAGTTTCCCCAGGTCTGGCCTTTCCCTTTTGGAAGTTGATCTACAGCTCTAGTGGTTGTTCTTCATTTCCCCCTCCCCCAAACTCTTCACATCCTCCCCCCAAATCCAACCCAAGGACTTTCCCCCAAATTCCCCAAATTTATTCCCAACTGGTAAATTTTCCTCTCAGGGTTAGCCTAAACCCTTTAAAATCCTTTTTGTCTAAACCCTTCTGGGCCCCAAATTTCTTCCCAAACAGAGTTTAAGGGTTTTCTTAGTCACTCCTCCCCAACCTTTCCTATAATTTACAAACGAGGTATTTAAATGTCCTTCCAAAATCTTTTTTAGCAATCCGGTTTGGGCATTCAAAGCACTTTTGAAACAAGCTTTTTGACAGTTTCTTTAAGTTTTAAAAGACCTGCTGGTCCTGGGCTGCAGGAGGAGGGGTATTGGAGGCAAAAACTTCACCTTAATGAAGCTCATTCCCCATAAAGTCCTCTGCCCGTTGTAGGATGACCAGGGGGGATTGTCTAACACAGGGGGCACTTTAAAGGGCTAATTTCTTTTTTTAGGGAATCTTTCACTTGGGCAAATGCAGGTGTAACCCTTATAGAAAAATTCCCTGTGACCCATGCCTTACTGTTTGCCCTCCACAGCAACAAAATTACCTTGAGGCTTCTTTTCCTGAACGTCGGGGTTTCAGAGGTACACTAATAAAGGCTTAACTTTGCAAACACCCCAAAAATTGGGACACATCAAAAATAACCTGTCTTTTATGGGTTATGTCCTGGGGGGTGCCTTTTTTCCCCCTGAGTAATTTAATCCGCTGGATTTTCTTCAGAACAGGCCTGTTTCATCACAAAATTAAAAACTTGTTTAGGGTTTCCCGTCCTTCAGTTTCTATGTACTCCTTGAATTTATGCAATTTTTTCAGCCGCTTTTTGGTCCCAACTGGCACCCACCATCGTATCAAATATGGATGCCAAACCCTTTTTAAAACTCTAAACCAAACCCTTTTCTGGCCCTTAAATTCACTCACATCATCACTATTGCAGGCATTTTTTTAATTAAATGTCATGCAATTTCCGCCTTTTTAATATGATGCTTGAGAGACCTATCTCCTGTAGTGTTTTTCATTTTTCCACACCAAAAAGGTCCCCAACATCTTCCAAAATTGCATCTTTGTTTCGAAAAAAAACAGTTAAACCTTTGGCAACAACACTTCCCTTTTTGCCGTTTTCTTGCCACAATAGAAAAGGGTGGTTTATTTTTGGTTTCTTTTACAAACCCGACCAGGGCTGATACTACTCCCTTTCATACTTATCAAAGATCTCTTTCTTAAATTTTAATGGGTTTTTCTTACCCCTTTTAGGGAGGGTTTGGGCCCAGAACTTTTTGGGCCCATGGGCCTTATTTTCAAAAACAGCACCGAAAACACTGTAATAAAACAAATATTTCCCAGTGTATGCTTGGGAATTTTTTCCGCGGAGGCTGGTGGTAAACAAGGGACGGGCGGACATATGAGGCTGGCTGAGGGCGCACATTGGAGCTTCGGACGAAGGGCGTGAGCGGGTTTTTTTCCACTTGCGGGGCAAAATTTTTGCGAAAAAAAGTTCGCTATGCGGATTGTTCGCTATGCAAGGCGTTCGCTATGCGGGGGTCCACTGTATATATATCTTCTTCTTCTTTCAACGTACCAGCCATATCCCACTGAGGTGGGGTGGCCCAAAAGAAAAAAACTGAAGTTTCTCCTTTTAAATTTAGTAATATATACAGGAGAAGGGTTACTAGCCCCTTGCTCCCAGCATTTTAGTCGCCTCTTACGACACGCATGGCTTACAGAGGAAGAATTCTGTTACACTTCCCCATGGAGATAAGAGGAAATAAACAAGAACAAGAATTAGAAAGAAAATAGAAGAAAACCCAGAGGGGTGTGTATATATATGCTTGTACATGTATGTGTAGTGTGACCTAAGTGTAAGTAGAAGTAGCAAGACTTACCTGTAATCTTGCATATTTATGAGACAGACAAAAGACACCAGCAATCCTACCATCATGTAAACAATTACAGGCTTTCATTTTACACTCACTTGGCAGGACGGTAGTACCCTCCTGGGCGGTTGCTGTCTACCAACCTACTGCCTAATATATATATACTATACATAATACATACATACATACATACATACATATACATACATATATATATATAATATTATATATATATATATATATATATAATATATTACGTATATATATAAATATATATATATATATATAGTATATATATATATATATATATATATATATATATATATATATATATATATATATATATATTATATATATATATATATTATATTATATTTTATTTCAACAAGTCGGCCGTCCCCACCGAGGCAGGGTGACCCAAAAAAGAAAGAAAATCCCCAAAAAGAAAATACTTTCATCATCATTCAACACTTTCACCTCACTCACACATAATCAATGTTTTTGCAGAGGTGCTCAGAACACAACAGTTTAGAAGCATACACGTATAAAGATACATAACATACCCCTCCAAACTGCTAATATCCTGAAACCCCTCCTTTAGAGTGCAGGCATTGTACTTCCCATTTCCAGGACTCAAGTCCAGCTACATAAAAATAACCGGTTTCCCTGAATCCCTTCACTAAATATTACCCTGCTCACACTCCAACAGATCGTCAGGTCTGAAATACCATTCGTCTCCATTCACTCCTATCGAACACGCTCATGCATGCCTGCTGGAAGCCCAAGCCCCTCGCCCATAAAACCTCCCTTACCCCTTCCTTCCAACTTTTTCGAGGACGACCCCTACCCCGTCTTCCTTCTCCTACCGATTTAAATGCTCTCCATTTCATTCTACTTTGATCCATTCTCTCTAAATGACCAAACCACCTCAACAACCCCTCTTCAGCCCTCTGACTAATACTTTTATTAACTCTACACCTTCTCCTAATTTCCACACTCCAAATTTTCTGCATAATATTTACACCACACATTGCCCTTAGACAGGACATCTCCACTGCCTCCAACTGTCTCCTCGCTGCTGCATTCACAACCCAAGCTTCACACCCATATAAAAGTGTTGGTACTACTATACTTTCATACATTCCCTTCTTTGCCTCCATAGATAGCGTTTTTTGACTCCACAAATCCCTCAACGCACCACTCACCTTTTTTCCCCTCATCAATTCTATGATTAACCTCATCCTTCATAAATCCATCCGCCGACACATCAACTCCCAAGTATCTGAAAACATTCAATTCTTCCATACTCCTCCTTCCCAATTTGATATCCAATTTTTCTTTATCTAAATCATTTGATACCCTCATCACCTTACTCTTTTCAATGTTCACTTTCAACTTTCTACCTTTACACACACACACATATAGTTAACTAGAAAAAGAAACAACTGCACCATTCATGAGGGGGCCAAGTTTTGGAAGCCCCAAAACACATCAGATGTCACCACAAAGGAAATACTATACCATTGGAAAACAGCTATGTAGTACCAATATTTAAAAAAATGAGATAGGCAAGAACAAATGTACTATATTGTAATACGTTCAGTAATTTTATAACATTGTACATACTATATAAAGAGTAATACACCCCTAAAATTTAATTTTATCTACCCAGAAATAAAAAAAAAAAGAGAAAGTAAAAATAACATACCCACTTTGTCTTAGATTGAAGAGAGTATAAATCTTCCCCACACAAGCTTATATCATCTATCCCCTTCTTGTGCACTCTTAACTCTCCTTCAAATCCCTTTGGTAGATATAATGGAGCAGGCAACTTGATGCTGCAATATCCATTTTCTTCTGAGCAGGATTCACTTGATACTTTCACACTCTCAATCATTTCTTTAGCATCTTGAAGTATGATAAAGATATCTGCAGCATTCTTCAAAACTGTTGCTCGTACACTTACTTCCTCCAAAATTACAGGATGTAGAATTTTTATACCCAAGCCAGTGCTGCATTCAGAGTCCAAAGTAACTTTAGCTAACTCATTCTTGCTTTTGAAGAATGTTCGTACATGTGAATTCTCAATATCTGAAATATAATAAAAAAATATTTGATAAAATTAGTGCTGCCTTAAAATAGTAATGAAGAAGAAGAGGAAGAAGAAGAAAAAGACAATGCTCGATTTGGGTCTTCAAGCCCGGAGAGTTACTAACCCAGGATTACCCGAGAAAGCCAAACAATGTGGCTTATGCTTAATTAGGTCTTTTTTTTCTCCTCCAGGAAGTAACCCGCAAGTCAATAACTTCCGGGAACTATACAGGTGCTCCCCGACATAGGATGGGGTTACGTTCTAACAAACCCATCAAAAGTTGACAATATCTGAAGTTGAATATGAATATGATGTGATAAATAAATAAGTAAATAAATAAGTAAATAAACAAGTAAATAAATAACTACTGTCACTGTCTACTGTAAATAAATAATTACTGTAGCTAACCAAATACCCATACTTAAAAGTATATAACTGAATACAAATTTATCCCATCAAAGTTTAATGACTAATGAAAAACATCACTATCATACCATTGTAAAGTCAAAATACCATGAGTCGAACCATCTTTAAGTGAGGAGCATGTGTATACTGTTAGATAATAGGAGTACCTAATGTTAGGAGATTTCCTCATATGACCCACCTCAAAGAGAATTTCAACCCCATGTTCTCTTGGCTGTGAGCATTGCATACTAACCACTGCACTACAAGCTGCCTAATGCAAAATTTATCTATAAATTTTACAATATGATAGGGAAATGATTTTATGCATTCCCTAAAAATGGTAAATCAGTAGGGATCACCAATAGTTCATTATAGAACACACATCCAAAGAAAAGTGCAACATACAGAGAGAAATGAGAGCACAGAAAGACAGGGCTACCTGTATATAGTACATGTACTTCAGATTTACAATAATATGTTCATATCTTATTCTCTCATTTACTAGAACTGGAAATATCCTCTCTTTACTGGGATTACAATTACAACTCTTTTTCCCCGCACAGTATGACCCTTATGAGCTTACTAGTAGTAGCAGTAGTAATAATAATATGGATATCTGCAGTTTTGAATTGTAGTACAGTATCAACAACCCTCTGGCAAGACAGTGATGGAGTGAGTGATGGTGAAAGTTTTTCTTCTTTTTTAGTAATAATAATACTACTGCTAATAATAATCTTATTTTCTACAAGTTTCATGAGCCACCCTGCCTCAGTAGGAAATGGCCGGTGTGTTAAAAATAATAATAATACAATAATAATAAAAATACAATATTTACCTTCACCTATATACCATTCACGACAGGTGCGAGAAGAGAGACGATCTGCTGGGTGTAATGGACAATCTCTGTCCCCGAGGACAAAAACTAGTTCTACATGTGGTAAGTCTTGTACTAAGGAACCCCAAGTTTGGCGTATAGCATTACGATGAGATAAATGATCCCTTGCTGATATAACACCAATAACCAGCCTTTTGAAGGTCAGATCTGTGGAAAAAAATATCAATTTATTCTGACTAATTACAAATAAAAGGCTGTGTATCTGCACTCTGCACAGGTTATATTTCAAAATTTCACAGACCAACATATCTCCCAGAGTGCAAAATGTTTAACAGATGTCTGTTTCTCGTGTGAGGATGGCAATACAAAGGAAAGTGTGAAATTAGTTAACTGCATAAGAAATCCACAGTGTCCCATGGCCTAGCATAGAATACTCCCAGGTAAGACCCATGTGGGTGAAAAGGGAGATTTGGACAGAGGAAGATAAGTGGGTAAGAGGAAGGGATGAGAGAAAGAGAAAAGAACCAGGGCTAAACCCAGTTGCACAGCATTGGTAGCAAGGTAGAGGGAATAGTTGTTACACTGTGCTGACTGCAAGAACATGTCGGCACAATGGTAGAACTGGCCTGGTAAGCAACACTTGCTTCACACACAGTGTGTCCTTGATTCGATCCTTGGCAGGGATGGAAACATTGGGTGTGTTTCCTTACACCTGCTGTCCCCCATTCACCTAGCAGGTGTTAGTGGACTGGTGTGGGTGGCATCCTGGGGGACAAGATTGAAGACCACAATGGAAATATGATAGACAGTCTCTCAATGATGCACTGACTTTCTTGGATTATCCTGGGTGGCTAACCCTCCAAGGTTAAAAATCCAAACAAAATCTTATCTCTTATACTCTATGTATAATTCTTAAGTAGACCCCAATGGAAGTAAGTCACTCTTCTGACTTTTCTGGGTTATCCCAGGTTCTCTACACATATACTGCTATGTATGATAATCTATGTAACTGTATATGTGTATACCTGAATAAAATTACTTACTAAGAATTAGGATTAGTTTGCCTGAAAGACATTGAATACCAGTGGCATTCTTATGTACCTAACAATGTTTATTAAATGTAAACTACATTACCTGCATACTGCATACTGCACTTTGCTTTATGGCATTTAGCTAATGCAGCAGTTTTCAATTATACCCATTCTATATTTATTCAAACTTCCTACATTATTACTATTGTTAGGTAAGACACATATGCAACAGTTAGGTATTTTTATTTTGAAATGTTTCTCCTTCAGTCGAGTACAGAAAAGTTGAAAAGTCAACTGAAGAAGCCTACTGTGTAGGCGAAACATTTTGAAATAAAGATACCTAACTGTTGCATATGTGTCTTACCTAACAATCTGTTGGTATTTTATACCATTTTAATGTTCACATAATTACATTATAATCAAAACAAAGCACTAAACCCACAAGGGACATACAGCACTGCAGACTTCCTACAATAAATATATTCAGCACTCACTAAAAGCTAAGGACAAAAATATTTTAAAGCAATGTGTGGATTATATATGCATTTTTAGGCCTATCTCTATTGCTCACTTAATATATGATAGTGTAAAGATGTAGCCTGGAGCCTAACCTGCTGTATAAGTGAGGCCCTCCTGTAAAAAATTGGAATTAAAGTACAATTATAATAAGATAAGATAAGATTTCGTTCGGATTTTTAACCCCGGAGGGTTAGCCACCCAGGATAACCCAAGAAAGTCAGTGCGTCATGAGGACTGTCTAACTTATTTCCATTGGGGTCCTTAATCTTGTCCCCCAGGATGCAACCCACACCAGTCGACTAACACCCAGGTACCTATTTGCTGCTAGGTGAACAGGACAACAGGTGTAAGGAAACGTATCGAATGTTTCCACCCGCCGGGAATCGAACCCGGGCCCTCCGTGTGTGAAGCGGGAGCTTTAGCCACCAGGCCACCGGGCCACAGGATACCCAGGATAACCCAAAAAAAAAAGCCAACGTGACTTATTGCCATTGGGGTCCTACAGTTGTAACTGGTCAGACACGAGATTATTTCCCCATAAATGAATTAAACAAAGGGAAAAATCTGTATTAAACAGACTTATTTGTTTTTGTTTCTAAATATGACTAAAGGACCCTAATGGAAATAAGTCACTCTGACTTTTTTTGAGGTTATCCCAGGTAATCTACATATATGCTGCTATATATGATTATCTATGTAACTGTATTTGTGTATACATGAATAAACTTACTTAAACTGACCTAATAGATTTTGTCTGATATTTCTGAATTTTTATTTACATATGTAATTAGGGGAAAAATGTTGTTTATCAAAATGAGGTATGTAAAATGGTCGACATTTTCTGTATTATTATTCATAGTGAGAGCACTAAATCCATAGGAGTCATACAGCAGCTGGGGAAATGAGAAGCAGTCAAGTTAGATCCAAGAAAGATGATGTCAGGTCCAATTCCATGGATCAAGAACCTCTCACATTATTTCAATCAAAACTAAGCTATAAACCCACAAGGGGTCAGAGGCTCCCCCCCCACCATGACCTTCCCTCCAGGTAGGTAAAATTTACACAGTACATTTATGGGACAATC